TGGGAGGCAGAGCTTGCAGTGAACCGAGATCACGCCACTGCACTCCAGCCTGGGTGATAGAGCAAGATTCTGTCTCAAAAAAAACCAAAAAAACACACACACACACAAACAATGTTAGCAGTCACAGCTGGGCGTGGTGGCTCATGCCTATAATTCCATTGCTTTGGGAGGCTGAGAAAGGTGGATTGCTTGAGGTCAGGAGTTCGAGACCAGCTTGGGCAACATGGCAAAACCCCGTCTCTACTAAAAATACAAAAAATTAGCCAGGTGTGGTGGTGCATGCTTGTAATTCCAGCTATTTGGGAGGGTGAGGCATGAGAATTGCTTGAACCAGGAAGTCAGAGGTTGCAGTGAGCTGAGATTGTGCCACTGCACTCCAGCCTGGCAGCCTGGCAGTGACAGAGTGAGACGTGATCTCAAAAACAAAACAAAACAAAACAAAACAAAAAACAAAAACCGAAACAACAATAACAACAACAACAAGAAGCACCCAAAATGTTAGCAGTCATAGTCTTACTTTCTAAATTTTTTTCTTTTTTTTCTTATGGTCTGTTTTCTCCACTTATGTTTTGTGGATACAGCATCTTTTCTAACTCTCTGAAAGTCTGAGTTTTTTTTTTCACTTTAATTCTTTTCTGTTCTTTATTTTTCTTTCAAGGCCATTTTATTTTTTTTTCTCTTGGTGTTTTCATTTCACGGTTTGGACTCAATGGTTTGGCCATCTTGGATATTTAAGAATGAGATGATAGGTCGCCAAGGAGCCCTGTGTTGGGGGTTGGGGTGGGGGAGGGGCTGGTTACTGTGAGTGGGAAGGCAGTCACTCATTTTTTGGAGCGTCTTTCAATGTCAGATTGAGAAGGATTTACTGTGGCAAACAGTAACCCCATGCTACAGGCCCTAGTTCTTCTCAGAAAGTCCATTCATGTTTCTTGCAGAGACAGAATTTCAGTTTTATTTTAGGCTTTTTCCTGCCCTGGGCTGGGATCTAAATACCTGGCTACTAGCGTTTTTGTAAGCAGGGATGCTAGAGGGAAACCTCAGGGGGATTGTTCTATACACAAACTTTCAACCACTGACCCCGTCTCCACTCTCATATCTCATGCCCGCCTTCCATTGCCTTTACCTTGTCAGCAGCCTCTTCTGCTCAGCTCCTAGTTAATACTCCTCCATCTGCTTTGAGTCTTACAGAAGGATTTTGAAATCTTAAGTCTCCTGATGGGGCTCTCTTGGATTATTTGCAGAGACAGGAGATAAACCCAAGGGCTGAGCCTGTCGCTTTCAACTAGAAGCCCTAGAGCCTCTGGGTTTTAAATGACTCTTTAATATGCTCAAAGTTTAGAGTCAGTGTGACCTATGACAGTATTCCTTAGACTAGTGCAATGTCCCCTGATTTACAGTAATGTTTCCAGTTGGTCCTCACGACCCTGGAGTCACAGGGGAGTCTGGAATGAATGGAGCTGGAGAAGACATCTGAAAGGCTTCACTGCATAGGAAACACGATCACAAGGGCAAAAAGACCCTCTACTATTTGTCAGAAAGCTAATAGAGAGGTAGGACAGGCTGGGATAAGGCTCAGGTTAGGGCTTGGAGGAGAAAACAGGTGAGCGGCTCTAGGAACAGCAATGTCTGCTACCCTGTTGCTCAGAGCCTGAGTTGGTAGTAGGGGGAGATGAGAGATCAGCTATGTCAGCGGCCAGTGGGGCGGCCAGTGGTGGGGCTTGAAGAGTCTATAAGGTGATGTAAGTTATCAGTTCCGGAAGAAATCTGTGCAAAAGTCCTGCTGATGAGGGTAAGTTTGAAGCCAGAAAATAACATTGTCAGCAGTGTCACCGGCACATACAAAGGGCAGTGATAGATTGCACAGCCCCCTCTCACATTTCTTGGCTAATGGAAGCCACAGCTTGCCCATTAGTTTCAACTTCCTTCCCCAAAGACTTTCCACTGGAACTTGCAAAATGTACATTTTACCTCTTTGTCCTTCCCCAGCCTGCTAGCAGAGATGAATAAGGCTGAAGAGGCAAGTCCCTGGAGAGAAAGGAAGAGATGAGAGAGACCCCCAAGTCGTGTGATCAGCTCCAGCACACTGGAGACTGGGCCATTTCACAAGGTGCCACTCAATCTGGTTTTTAGCTGGGGCGTAGGTCGGGGGTAGGCATTAGGCTCACTGAGAGGTTCCCTTAAAGCGGTGGTGTCTGTGCTGTTTCTCCATTGCCTCTCCTCCAGCACAGGGAAATCACACAGCAAAAGTACACCAGGCTCTGGCGAAGGGCCCCAGACCTCGCTGGTCTACAGCTGTGCTGAGCAGGTCTTTCCCATGGGCCTCTCAGGCGCTCCTTGTGAAGGCAGAAGTGGGTTTTGCCCTGCAGAGCAAAGGAATTCTATTTGCTCCGTGAGGTTTACACAGTTGCTTTTTTCTTTTTCTCTTCCACTCCTCCCTTGAGAAAATTAGCTAGAACAGGTGCCTTTGCAGCAACCAACACCATTCAAAATCTCTCAGAATGTGCTGAGAGTATTTGTAATACCCTTAACTGTGGCTAAATTTAAGCTTTACCCGTGCCCTGTGTCTCTGACTCTGAGTCTCAGTTTGTGCCTCTCCTTGTCTGTGTCTCTATTTGTGTCTCTCTCTGTCTCTCTATTTCTCTGTTTCTGTCACTGTCTCTCTGTCTCTGTCTCTGCTTTTCTGTTTCTTCCTCTATCTCTCTCCCTGTCTCTGTCTGTCTCCCTCTCTGTCTCTGTCTCTCTCTTTCTCTGTTTCTGTCTCCCCCCCTCTTTCCCATACACCTGATCAGCGGTGCCAGGGCTCTCACCACCCTCTGCCTTTAGGAAAGCAGGCTGAGTCATACTCATCCTGTGCTCAGCAACTGGACACGATGCCTACTCCCCCAGAAAGCACAGAAAGCTTCCAAATCCACTTGGTCCCCTCAATAAAAATACTCCATCAATGCTTTCCCCTGGCCAGAGGGACCCGCGTCTGTGCAGAAGGCCCTGAGCAGGCGAACCATCACTCATTTATGAAAATGAAAGATTCACGAGAAACTCCTGTGGGTTGCCAGCAGAGTTTATGCAGGTTCTGATCTACTTGAATTTAATTAAGCTGTGTTTATTTAATCAGCCCAGAGATATGTATCCTCAGGCAGGAATTTGATGACTGCTTCTGAACCGTGTTTTTTTCTGTGAGAGGAGAAGGGCTGTGACCTACTTGGTAGTTTTGAAGGATTGGGGGCCCAAGAGGCAGGCTGGTATTGAGGCTCAGACTGGACCCTGCAGGGACACTGCATTCAGCAGCTGTGCATGCGATTGTGTGTGCCTGTGTGAGTGTGAGAGTGTGTGTGTGTGCATGTGTGAATGCGTGTGCCTGTGTGAATGTGGACACATTATGTGTGCAGGTGCAAGTATGTGTGTGTGCACGTGTCCAGGCACCCTGTGGCGAGTGTGCATGGGCAGAGCTCTTTTTGCTCAGTGCCCCGGGACCTCGGGGCAGGACTGTCAGGGAAGCCAGACCTGCCAGTAGTCTGTGTTCTCAGCCACCACAGGAGAAAAGCATTAGAGAAACAAGATCATACTGAGGCTTGAGGACAGTGTTGTTCAAATTGTGCTCCATAAATCTCCATGGATGCTGGTTAAGCACACTGATGCCCAGGTTCCACACCAAGGCTTGCTGAATCACACTATAAATAACCTCAGGAGTGTTTGCATTTTAAGCATGGAGGCGGGACAGGCAGAGGACAGTGACTGAGACCCATTTAGTGGGAATCATGATGCTGGTAGTGGGCATGGGTGTCTAAGCCTCACACCTGGGTCTGGGCAGTGCTCAGCGTGAGCTGCGCAGCCGAGTCATTTATGGGTGGGGCTGAGCCAGGGTCCAGGCAGGAAAGTAGTGCATTATCAGTTTATCAGTTTTCAGAGAGGTAGAATAAGAGGGAAGGGCTTCCTTGTGGCCTGAGGAGCAAGGCCAATGATCTTCAGCTGGGAAGGAAGCTGGCTAGGATCCCACAGGAGAAGCCCTGGAGAACAACCTCAGGCTGGTCCCAGAGTGGCCAGAGATGGCAGAGTGAACAGACTGGCCAAGTAGCATAATTCTGGGGCTAATTCAAGGAGCACAGCTGGTCTGCTGTTATAGCCCGTGTGGGGTGAGGGAGGGATTGTGATCCTCAGGGTCTAACCAAGGCTAGACTGTGGCAAGCAGTAGGAGAGAGCAAATGTTAGAGATCCTTCAAAAGAATAATGGGATTTGGTGATTTTTTTTTTTTTTTTTAAGAAAATGGGAATGAAAGGAAAGAGAAGAAACTTCCAAATTCAGGAAAAAAAAATATATACTTGGGTCTAGCACTGTGAGAATCAGTTTTGGAAAGCTGATGACATTTGGAAATACCTGGCCACCCCTTCCTGAGATCTCTGATTCCTCTAATTTTTCAGCTTTGTTCGTCTCTCCTTAAGAGAGCACATCCACTAATACAATTAGAAAAACAGAGACTATCCTGTTTATGCTGTTGATTTCAGTTCTTATCTTTCAGTAGAAGAGAAGTTCTTTATGTCTCTAAACGTCTCCTGGTCAACTTCACCTTGATGGTTCTCCATAATCTGAAACTTAACATGATGCAAACCACATCACATCATCTTTCTTGTATTATAGCTTGGGCAAGCTCTGTGGTAAGGTCTTCTTCAGTGCCTGAGGTCCATGAGCTGATGGGGGACATGAAGGGCTGGGAATGAACAGGAACCCAAGGGACAACTGCAGCCAATTTTTAGGGTCCCGGGAAGGAGTCTTGAAAAGGGGTGACAGACTTAGGCCTCTTCTTATCACATAAGATTATGTTCAATGTAAGTGTTGATGCAAATTACCAATAATACTGTGGTGTGTGTGTGTGTGTGTTTGTGCATGTGTATGTGTTAGAAACAAACAAGAAACTCAGAAACTCTTTTCCAGAATTAATCATGCTGAAAAAATAAATGAGCCCCCATTTTCAGCTAGCATCAGTTGACAATTGTGGCAGACAGCCTCCAAGATGATCTGCAGAATCCTGACCTCTTGGCATTGATACACCTGTAGAGTTCCCTCCCACACTGAACAGGGTTGAGGATATTGAAGAAATGGTGGTGTGTGACATCTGAGCCTAGGTCACAAAAGACACTGTAGCTTCTTTCTTGCTCTCTTAGATCACTCATTCTAGGAGAGACCTTGGGAGAAGAAGTCATGAGGACAGTCAACTAGCTCTTTGAAGAGGTCCACATGGTGGGAAACTGAGGCCTCCTGCCAACGGCCTTGTGAGTGAATCATCTTGGAGGTGGATCCTCAAGCCCCTGTAAAACCTTCAGATGACCACACATCTGACTGACATTTTGACCTCAATGTTATGAAAAATCTTGAGGCCGAAGCACCCACCTAAACCAATCCTGTATTCTTCACCTACAGAAACTATGAGGTACTAATACATGCTAATTGTTTTAAGCTGCTAAGTTTTAGAATAATTTGTTATGCAACAATAGGTAACTAATAAAACAATACTAACAATAACCTGATATACACCCATAAATATGATATCCAGACAAAATCAGAAAGTGTTTATCTATGCACTGCATTGTTATGTTTCTTTATAGAACAAAAGGAATCCTATGTTTTTTGGATCCTTTTCTCAAGTCATTGCCAGTGATACAGGGTCCATGAGCCCTGAAATTGGGGCTCAGCCTGGGAGGGTTCTTGGCTTCACCCAGGAAAGTATTCAAGAGTAGACCAGTGGTGCCAGATAGCAACTTTTATTGGAGAGGCCATGTATGGCAGCAGCAGAGGCACTGGTCCTTGTGGAGCAGGGATGCCCCATACACAGTGTGCCCAGAGTAGCAGCTCAGAGGCAGTTCTTCAGTCCTATTTATACCCAATTTTAATTACATGCAAATTAAGGGGAAAGTTATGCAGAAATTTCTAGAAAAGGAGTGATAACTTCCAGGTCATTGCCATGGAAAGGGGTAGTAATTTCTGCATATTGCCATGAAAATAGTAAACTGACATGGCACTGGTGGGCATGTCTTACGGAAACGTGCTTTTGCCTCTTTCCTGTTTCAGCTAGTCTTCAATCTGGTCTGGAGTTCAAGCCCTGCCTCTGGAGTCATGTCCCACCTCCTACTTCACCAGTACCTTCCCTCTCCTCCTGATTAGTGTGAGGATAGCTCATTTCAGAGTCTACACCACTGAGAGGGCAGAAGAAATGTGCCAGATTAACTATTTATTGTTTTGTAATACGATGTAGCCAAATGCTTTCACTCTACGATGTCCCCCAGCCAAACTCCTCAGATTAGTCAATTAGGATTCATCCATGCACCAAGAAGGTGAGTCCATTTTTTTTTGCCTTCTTTTGCAGAATAACTCTGATATTAATGGAGAAGAGTAGCAGAAAGTGTGCTAGGACCTGTTAGCACACTTTCTGCTAGCATATCTGTTTTTTCATAAAAAACATATTGTCTTACACTTAACATTTTCATTTATATTTGTTCTATAATTCCTCCCCAAAATATTATTAAGCAGGTATAATTAGCTCCATTTTTTGGATGAAGAAACTGAACAGAACTTGAACATAGTCTAATTTAATACTTTTCCCTCTAAATCTACACTGTCCAAAATGATAGTCACTAGGCACATGTGGCTAGTAAGCATGTGGACTTATAGCACCCTTAAGCACTTGAACTTACATGTAGCTCATAAGCACTTGAATTTACATGTGGCTAGTAAGCACTGGAAATGTACTGAATTGACATGTGCTATAAATAGTATAAAATCCACATAAGATTTCAAAGACAGTATGAGAAAAATAATGTCAAATATTTTGTTAAATTTTACACTGATTACACATTGAAATGATATTTTGAATGTGTTCATATTGTTAAAATTGATTTCACCTGTTTCTTTTTACTTACATTTTTTAAAATTGTAAATTATTGTGAGTACATGATAGTTCTTTTTACTTTTAAATGTGGTATGGTTACTATAAAATGTGAAATTATATGTGTGGCTTGCATTTGCATCCCAGGTTATATTTCTACCGGACAGAACTGCTCTAAACCAAGGCTGATATTTTCAGACTCACAACCTCAAGTTACCCCCAGACAGCCCTCATATCATCTCAGGGCCGCTAGGAGGGGAGAAAAAAATATAACAGATTGTATAATTGATAACCCCCTGTTTTTCATGTTTTGATATTTCATCATGAAAGGGAAGAAACTGAGCACCCTGGTGGTGCTGGGGCAGAAGGATCAGATGCTATCCTATATCCCGGTGAATTTCTTTGAAGTGTAATCTTGTGTCACAAGGCCTTTCCAAACTTATTCAGGTGTACAAAGCACTAAGGGAAAGTTCAGACCCCTGAGCCAGAAAACTTCATTTTCCACATTAAGATCAAAGGAGTATGCGGGAGAGATGTAGCACCCCAGTACTGGGCGGTCTGTTATAACAGGGTCAGAGAGAGGGCCGGAAAGGGATGAGAAAAGCAAAAGACTGCCCAGAAAGTCAGCCAGTGAAAACAAGTGACTCATGTATACTTTCATGTATTCATTAATGTAGCAAATATCCACTTATTGTCTGTTACTCATTGCTTAATGTGTCCTCTTATCTACAGGCACTGCTCCAAATTCTAGGGATACAGTGGTGATCAAGGATCAAGGTTTCTGCCCTCTTAGAATTTGTTTTCTAGAAGCAACAGAGAATAATATACAATGAATAAGTAAATATGATAACTTCAGATTCTACTAGTTAGATTATAGGTTGGCTGCTATAACACAGAGACCCAAATAGCAATGACTTAAGCAAGAGAGAACTTCATTTCTTTCTCATGTATAATAACAATTGCGAGTGAGGAGTCTAGGGTGGGATGAGCACTCCTATAGTGTCAGAGACCCAGGTTCCTTCTATCTTGCTGACCTGTCAGTACTGGATCTGTGTCATCTATAAGATTCCAGATGGATCACCATCTCCTCAGGCAAGCAGAAAGGGAAAGAGAAAGTGAAGGCCACTCCTCTTCCTTTTAAGGATATGACCTAGAAGGTGCACACATTGTTTAATTCACATCCCATTGGCCAGTACTTAGTCATATGACCATCCTAGAATCTAGCAAGGTAGTCTGGGAAATGTAGTCTTCATACTGAGTGACTTGTAGTTAGTTTAAAAAATGTTTTACATTTTTTTCTTTAAACAAAAACAATGTTTTTCTTTAAATGAAGGAAGAAGAGGACAGATATTGAGGGGCAACTAATAGTATCAGCACAATGGTGAGTTGCACAACTGCTACATTCACAATGTCAATAGTAGGACTGCATTACTGGAAAGACCAGGCTCTGACAATCTTTGGATAAATCACACAGGATTGACTTATGCAAGGATAGAGAAGAATATCAGCACTGTCAGGACTCATGGCAGAGAGATCAGCATCATTTTCTAGGACATAAAAAGGTGAACACAAAATCCTTTCCAAGAGAAAATCCAGTTGCACCTGAAAATATGTGAAAGCATAGAGGTCACATTAAATTATCAGGAAGCCTAACTCATCCCCGCTGGACCCAGGACCTATCCTTTAGAGACAAAATATGAATGAAAGAGAGTTGGAGAAGGGGGTGTCAGGTGACTTATTAGCAAGTATGTACAAGGATGGTGTCTCTAGGGAACTAATATTTGAATAGAGACCTGAAGGGTTAGACAGAGTTCCTTATATAAAGCTTTCCAGGAATAGGGAACAACAGATGAAAAGACCTTGTAACTAAGGTTGACCTTTGCAGGTACTAGAAACCAAGTTTTCCAGAGTAGCTGGAGTGTCATAAGTGAGGCAGAGAGTGGAAATGAGAGGAGGGAAAAAAAGGAGAAGATGAGAAAAGGAAGGCAGCTCTCGCATTTAGCACCGGAGGGACATCTTTATCAGATAAAATGGCAGAATCTGCCTCCTTCAGGTATTCCCTAATGTTTGCCTCTGGCAACTTTCCATACAAATTTCCCCAAACCAGTGCTGGAAAAGAACTTGGCGTCAGTTTTCCCTGAGCTCAGAGTCCTGTCCTTTCCTTTCACTCATTTGCCTTGTCTGTTTACCCAGGATGCCCCACCCTGCTCTTCTCCCAGGGTTGTCGTGAGATCAGATGCAAGAGGAGGTATGAGGGTGGCTGTCATGTGCATTGTTGCGTTCCGGGGCAGGGAGGCACAGCACCTGGCATCCAGTGGGACTCAGTACTGTTATTTCTATTATGATGGTCGCAGTTGGTTGGTTTCCTCAATTTCCAGGCCTTCAGTACAGATTCAATTATGATTTTGAAATGCTTTTTTCTGTTTCTATCATACTAATTAACGATGGTTTGTTTTTTCTTGTCAAAGCAGGTGTTTGGATATTTTTAGAAGATTCCCCTTTGTCAAAGATCCCGTGGCTTGGTGTGAAGTGGTGTGAGCTGTGCCCAGTGGAACATTTAGGTCATTGGTTGGGTGAGAACTCTGTTCTCTGCATCCTTGTAGAATGTACATATAAATATGACTTTAAATAAAAGTCAGCATTTTCTGAATTTCTTTTTGTGCCAACCCAGACATACCCCTTTTAAAAATTATGGCTGGTTATTAAACTCTGTTTGTTTTGTTTCTTCATCTGTGCCATGTGCTTTCCCCAGATAGCTTGTAGAACTTTGCTTAGCACAGGGGCTTTGGAACCATTTTGCATGGTTCCACTTTCGCTCTGGGAAGATGGGGAGTTGAGGAAGGAGTTTGGACAGAAGACTTATTTAACTCCAGTTTCATCTTGGTTTCAATTATCTCCATACTCATTCATATCCACCCACCCATCCATGCCTTCCCACTCATTCTTCCACTGAGCATCTTCTATATACCAAGTTTCACAGCAGTATGAGGGTTTGCAAGCACAGAGATGAAAAACAGAGTCTATGCCCACGAGGACCTTGAAGTCCAATAATGTGGTCTTATACAGCAGAATGTTAGATGCTATGAGAAAGGAATGCATAAGAAGGATGAGAGCCCAGAGGACAGCCCCTCTTCTAGGATTGAAGGTTCAGGGAAGTCTTCCTACAGGAGATGAGACTGAACTGAATCCTGAAGGATAAAGGGGGTCAGAGAAGGCTTAACAAGTAGAGGAAACAGCAAGTACAGAGATATATTGGGGTGGAGAGTTTGGCATGGTATGGGAACTGCAATCCGTTTTAGTACAGTCAGAGCATAGCATGCAGGATGGGGGCGGAGGGTGAAAAAAAATGATGCCAGAAAGGTAAGCAGGGGCAGGATCGTCAAAAGTCCTAGAAGCTGTGGTAATGAGCTTGAACCAAGGGGAAATCCTCTAAGATAATTTAGAGCAGGAGAGTGATGAGCAGATTTGTAGTTTTTGAAAGCTTCTTCCAGCTTCAGGGTGGAGGTTGGACTGAAGGAGGTCACACTCACTGAGGGAAATGGGATCAGTCGGTGGCTGTCACAGTGATGGCAGGACACAATAGTGAAGACCCAGCATTAGGCAGTGGTCGTGAAAGAGAGAAGGAGACAGTTCAAGACATGCGCGAGGAGTGGAATGGATAGGGCTCATTGCTAGATGGAATGTGGAGGAGGCTTCCGTGTCTGAGTGACAAGGGTGTCACTAATTCTTGCATGTAACATAGGAAAGAGGACAGCCTTGTGGCAGGACGCCTTGAATTCAGGCTCACCATCTAAATGTTGGGTGAGATAGAGATTTGAGAGAGCTGAGTGGGAGTGTGGTTGCCCAGGGAGAGAGTAAAGAGTTGAGAGCCGGGCGCAGTGGCTCACGCCTGTAATCCCAGCACTTTGGGAGACCAAGGAGGGTGGATCACCTGAGGTCAGGAGTTCGAGACCAGCCTGACCAACATGGTGAAATCCTGTCTCTACTAAAAATACAAAAAATTAGCCGGGAGTGGTAGCATGTGCCTGTAATCCCAGCTACTTGGGAGGCTGAGGCAGGAGAATTGCTTGAACCCGGGAGGCACCGAGATCACACCATTGCACTCCAGCTTGGGCAACAAGAGCGAAACTCCATCTCAAAAGAAAAAAAAAAAAGAAAAAAAGAGTTGAGGAGAGGAGAAAGCCTGCACCAAAACCCCAGGGAACCTGTGTTTATTGAGAGGCGATGGAAGAGTAATTAAAAAGGAACCAAGGAGGAACAGCCAGAGATGTAGGAGTCCTGGCAGCCTAGGCAACAGAGTTCCCGGGAGTCACATGTTGTGAAAGGATGAGGAGAATGAGTATGGAAAGGTGCCCATTGGATTTAATGACAAAGAAGTTTGTGGCTGTCTCGCAGAAAGCATCTCTGGTGGGGTGAGGAGTGAATGGCATGTGAGGAAGCTGGTGTGGAGGGTGAAGACGAGCCTAAACCTGTGGCTGTGAAGTGGGAAAGGTGGCTAGAGAGGAAGACGAGAAGGGCAGGTGACTGGCCAGGGGCTCACAGTGAGTTAATATCTTAAATTAATTCATCCACCTAATCATTAGGTGCCTGTTGTGCAGCATGTTGTGCTAGGCACCAGGTATAAAGAAACTTGAGACATGCCTTCCAATGTGTAAAATTTAGTGAGTAAAGCCCCAAAACTGCATGATCAAGAGACCCACTTTCCTATGTTTGCTAAAAAATAATGTGCTGTAGTAAAAATGACACAGATTTTGGGTAAAGATAGATCTGGGTTCAAATCTTGACTGTTTCTTTCTGGCTGTGTGATCTTGGGCAAATTATTTAATCTCTCTAAGCCTCAGTTTTCACATCTGTAAAATGGGAATAATAATAATATCCCCCCATGTAGATTTCCTGAGAAGATCTGAGATAAGGTCTATTAACTCTGTAAGGGTAAGGGATTTGTCTAGATTACTCACTATTGTATCCCCAGTACCAACCATAGCATAATGCCTGGCCCATAGCAGGGAGTCAGTAGATATTTGCAGAATGAGTGGATGACAGAAGATATGTGAAGATCCTGGCATAGAGGAGGTGATCTGTAAAGGGTAGCCATTCTTCTTCACTGCTCTAGGACCTGTGAGGATCTGTCACTGGATGTGTGAGGATGAGATAATGAATTACCAGGTGAAATGCTAAAGCCTCTGGTTGGCAATGAGATGTCGGGTGGCTATCCTGTTCTGAACACTTGGCTCATGATGGGTGTGAATGGGTAAGGGAAGCAGCTCGTGCCATGCCAGAGGCAAGCCATAGACAGCCCTGTGCAGTACAGGGAGGCTGAGAGGAAGGAATGTTAAGCATGTGCTGACTTACATGTGACCTCAGGTGAGAGGGACAGGCTGTTCCAGTCGTCTCATCTAAGAGAGCAGCTTCTAGCTCTCAGGCCTGTGACTCTCAGTGGCCTGGGCCAGCTAAAAGGGTCCTGCCTGTCCACAGGTGCTGGCCTTTTCTGGCTACTCTTCCCTGTTCACAATTTAGATGCTCAAGGCAGCAGGAAAGATAACAGCAAGAAGTGGAGGCAATTTACCTCTTTGTTAATTCCTGCCTGAATGAAAACAAAAAAAATGGTTGTGTATGTTTTCTCCCTGGAAAAGTCATACCTCCTCAATATTTAAAAAAATCCTAGGACAGCAAAAAGAAAAAAAAATCACCAAATTGGTGTGGTTTCAGAGTCATGTTTTTCTTTTTTTCTGCCTGGTTTTTAATATACTCTCTGCCTAGTTTCTTTTGTTTTTGGACTTGAGGAAGGCCAGAGCTGCTTTTTCTGAAAGAATGATGCTCCGTGACTGGCAAGACCAGCGAGAGAGGCACTTTGGCACATTAAGAAGCCAAAGGCTCATTAGTGTCTATTTACTACCTTGCAGAATGCTCCAGAAGAAGAACCTGAGACTGTCATCTCCTGGAATGGGGCTCCCCAGGGCTTCCTCACTCAGGATGTGCATAATGAATGCAGCAGCCTGGGCAGGGGAGGGCGTCGCATGCTGGGCCTGTGGTCCCAGGGGCAGCCTCGTCTTTCCCTGGTTCCTTCCAAAGCAAGGCATTCTGGGCAGGGAGGGATGATTTATGATCTCTCTTTGGGCTCAGTGTGGTTGCTGTGGGAGGAAGGACGCTGCTCTGCACAGGAGCAGGAGCAGAGCACCCACACAGCATGCAGGGGATTGCTGGACACATCTCACATAGTCAGGGTTGGAGAAGACCTCGTGATCACCTGTTCAGCCTCTCAAGTCTACAGAGGCAGAAAATGAGGCACAGGGAGAAAATGGGGCCGGATGAAGGCCCACTCCTAGCCCGTGCCAGAGCAGAGGAACGTCCACTCATACCTAATCCAGTGCATTGTGCTGATTCACCTCTCTTGGTGGTGAATTTTCCCATCTGGAAAACTAGGCTGATATTGTAGATCCTAGCTTACAAAAACGTTCTCAACTGGAATGTGAAAGAATACACAATTGGGAGTCAGAAGACATTGGTTTGAGTCCTAACCCTGTGGGATCTTGGGCAAGGCACTTTGCCTATTTGAGTCTCAGTTTACCTTCTGTAACATGAGGGGAATTATCAACAATAATAGTTAATATTCTCGAACCCTCACTGTGGGCCAGGCAATGTGCTAAGTGTTAGGGTTATTTCGTTTATTCCTCTTGATAACCTTAAGAGGGAGGTACTATTATTCCTGTTTTAAAGATGAGGAAACTGAGGTTGGCTTTAATTAGCTTGTTGTCAGGTCTCAAAGCTAGGTGACAGTATTTATCTCACAAGGTTTATGTAAGAGTTGTATAAGCTGCTTATGAATGTGTTTTTTGATTATGAAATACACATGAAAACGATTTTCCATGTAAAAGTATTTTGATTTTTTTTTTTTGAGAAAAAGTCCTGAATGCCCAGTCATCACTGTTTGATCTTATTTGCCAAATGTTCTTTGAATTGCTGCTGAGTGTGAAGAACCGTGTCAAGCGCTGGAGAGGAGGGCATGCTGCAACCCCCGCTCTCATGGAGGTTACAGGTCAGCAGTTAATGCAACCACCCAGGTCAAAATGACAAGTGGGATGTGAGCCCAGGAGTGGGAATGGATGGGGGGTAAGGGAATGAGCTTTGTCTCAAACAGTGGTTTCCAACCCTGGCCATTCCCAGGGATTCTGATTTATCAGGGAAGGAAGGGGCCCAGACATCGTTGTTTTTAAAGCCCTCTGGGATTGCAATGGGCCACCACAATTCAGACCTGCTGATCTAGATGATGAGGACACCTCCCCGGGGAGGTAACATTTAAGCTGGGGGCTGCTGGAGTTTGAAGAGTTCATTCTAACTGCAGCTGACAGCTTTGCCAGGTAGACGTTTCTCTCTTCTGACAGGGAGGGCTGGAGACCATGGTCAGGAGGGACCCCCAGGTGAGCTGCACCTCCTGAGAGAAACTCAGCCAGACGGCAAGGCTGCCCACCCCTCCCTCCACATTCACTGCCCCACACTGGTGGAGAGAAGTGGTTTCCTTGGGAACTGATGGCTCCACCTGTCGCCTCTGTGCAGCCAGCTGCTACTGTGTAGGAGCTGGGTGAGGAGTAGATCCAGGATTCTTGGAGGTGTGACTTTGAAGACAGGTTTCTCCCTTCACCCATCAGGCTGCCGATGG